CCAACTTGCATCTAGGGTTCATCACTTGCCTGTTCTTGGCTACTCCGGTGTGATTTCAAGCAAAATCACGCTGTATTTGCAACGATCCTTGGGTTTTCCAAGCAGGTTCTTCATCTCTATATGGGTTTCTTTTGAAACCCTAATTTCTTTTCTATACCTCCTAGATCTGTGACGATTTGAGTTTGTTTCTTTAATATTTTACACTGTCCTTGGAACTCCTTACAAGAATTGTTGATTTCAAGTGGTTTTCACCTTCTTCTAAAAGTAGGGTTTCGAAACTTCTTTTAAAACCTTGTTTAACTGATTCTTTGTGTTTAAACTTCTATTTCTTGCGTATTTTGACTGATTCTATGATTTTACTACATCTTCAACTCATCTATGTTGAAAGCCCTAATTTTCTAGGTTTCTTCGTTTGATTTTTGTGACTGGCCGGTTCTCGTTTTAGTTTCTGTGACTATCTCGCCTCGAATATGTTTCTACTGAGTTTCTTCGCCTAGCTTACATCAACTCTATGTGTTTGTGTTCATCTTGACTGTTCAAGACTTGCCTCTTTGCTTGCTATGTCTGGTTATTCTTATTTTACTCTATTTATATGCTAAACACTGACTCATGACTTTCTCTTGATTGATTCTAGATCCCCTATTTCATGATTTGATTGGAAGACCTTCCTTTAAACCTTCGATTCCTACCATTTCTATTCAATTTGATTGATTCGCCTACCTTGTCTGCATTGGTACTTTATTCTTACTGACTATCTCCTTAATTAGAGTTTTTCTGAACTTAGCCCTAATTGTTTACCCTATACTTACTATATTTGAAATCTTTCCTTATTGGTCGTACATTGATTTCTTTTCTTATTTGTTACTTGTTCTTACCGTTTGAACTGATTCCCTTAAATTAAGGGGGTACTTGTACTGATTTTGCTCTAATTGGTTCTGAGTTCCATAATTACTATACTATTGTGATTCTTGCCTTATTTTACCTAGTTTCGAACTACTATATATACATACTCTCTCAAACACACAAACACACAAACACATTGGCTCAAAGGAAAAAAAAAAGCTCTCTCACACTCAAAACTTTTCGGCTCCCTCTTTGGTTACTTGCTATCATTCTGAGTTAGCCGGCTACAAGCCAAGACTAACTATTGTGCTTTCCTATTCCTCACTTTGTGTTTACCATCTCTCTACTGGTATGTTCTGATTTCAATTAAAGTCTCAAAACCAATATGTTTCTTTTACTACTTCAGTTTATCATGTTTCTAGTTTGTTTCTATCTATGGTTCTGTTGTTCAACATGCAATTGACATGTTTACATTACTGCTTCATCTAGCATGCTAGTCTAACCTTCTTAGGGCTTTTCAGAACATGTTCTACCCCCTCCCCTAGTAGTCTGTCTCAACATGACTCTACCTTACTTTGAATGCTTGTCTACTTGTTATCCAGTTTTGATGTACAAGCTGATCTGTCACTTTAAAAGGCTGATTCTATGATTGTTTCTGAAACTCTTACCAATAGCTATCCCTTAAACCCCACAAGAACTGTTATGTTCCTGATACTATGTGCTTTATGTGTCCCCAATTCCCATTCCCCTGTATGAAGGACTGTTATTTGAGTATTACAGAACTTATTTGACTTACCTGCTGTTTGTTTAATTACACCACTATTTTTCAAAAGTTGTTTTCCCAACAACTCCCTTGGCTACAAAGTTATTTCAACTAAGTCTCTTTTTTACTCTGTTTTTTCCTACTGAAACCATTTCAAACTATGTCAAGCACTCTCACTCTATTCCTAAGTCCCTAGGCTCTGCCCCCTCCAGTGTGTTTACTGCCTTGGGATCCTTTTGAGAACCCTCTGAACTCTGGCACACTGAGGCTGGCCCTTCCACACTGCACTTACTCAATTTGGTTACAAAGTCTAGGTGTGAGCATTGCCCGGGATCCTTGAGATCCTTAGGGAACTCTAACGTACCTAGACAATGATATTGTCTTTGAAATTGGCATTTGAGGCTATTGGAGGTTTGGGGAAACCACTTGGGCCTACTTCAGGCTCCCTATAGTGTAACTTCTTCTTTTTCTTTATCTATGTAATTCATTCATCTGGTTTGTAATAATTTATAAACGAATATTGGGGTGATTAGTAAAAGGGGTGGGTAGTTACATATTTGTGGGGTAAGATGGGTAGAAACCATGCCTATAGGATCTAATATTTGCTATGTCTGCTCTACGGTGTTAGAAACCATGCCTATAAGATTTCATATAATTGCTATGTTTGCCTCACTATGCTAGACATCATGCCTATAGGTTTTACAATCAACTTCACAAATAGATATCATACTTAAGCATGTAATCAAGTTCAAGTTTCTGTTCCAATGGCTGTTTACATTTATTTCCGCTAGAAATCATGCCTATAAGTTTATAAACAACTAGATATCATAGGGAACAACATAAAAAATTCTGCATATAGATCTAAAAATTAGTTTAGTTTAAATAAGTCAATGAGTTCATGATTAGTTTACTTTGAAATTGGTCTAATTAGTGGTTTGTTTTCCCTGAAATGAATTCTTTCGAGTACTGCTCTAATTTACTATTAGAAAGCATGCCTATAGGAACTCAAGAGTTTGTTTTAAAATCTTCCCACTGTTTTACTATATCAAACGTAGTTATCATGCTCTTAGGACACCACTATTAAGCGTGTAGGCAAGCCTATAGGACGTTTTCAAATCCTGCAACTCTGAAACTGTTTCTGCTACTTAATGTTGTTCTGATTTAACAGGCTTAAAATCAATAAGAAAACTGATAGGGCCATTACTTCTGAGTTTATAAAACAAACCGCCTATCTTCTATGTCTTGATATTCACTTAGACATCATATCTTAGGATACCGTTTAACAATACGACCCTTATTTGTGTTTGAGTCGTGTTGCTTATGTGCGTTGTTTGTGGAGGTAAACTTGAGCCTCTAATTGCTTCTTTCTGCCTTATGTGCTAAGGTCCTATTTGTTCTTGCCTGTCGCCTTAGTATTTTCTCCTTTAAACCTTAGGGGTCTGTCTAGAACTGCCTATAGGTAGGGGTCCTAAATTTCCTCCAGGATCATTAAGAAGGGACGGTTAACAGCACGCAATAGAGATCGCTAACCAACACTCGCTTAATAACCACTAAAGGGGTGGAAAGGGTAGATATGGGATATGATGACTACGCGCTAATGTCACGTGTAGTCCCTCATTGAGGAGTGTTTACCGGACATTGTGTGGGGTGATCTTGTAGGCTAACCAACCTAGGACCCTCCTTTCCCAAATCTCTTCTGTTTAAAACCTTGTTTTTATGTATACAACTTGTTCAAATCTTTGTCTATTATACGATATCCAACCTGCTCTTATTTGCAATTATGTGTTTAAAAACTATTTGTTTGACTAATTCATGAGTTAAGTTCGGCCAGGACCCACCATTGTGGACCGCGAGGGGTGCCTAACACCTTCCCCTAAAGGTTATTTTGAGCCCTTACCCTAAATCTCTAGTAATGAAAATCAATCCAAGAGTTAATCGCTCTAGGTTCCCTAACGCACCGTAATCCGTTAGGTGGCGACTCTTCAAATACCCAATTCCAAAAAGGAAACGAGTTGTTCCCCCATGAATGTCGAAACCCGAACTTTCTCTGCGAGAAGGGAAAAAGGGGGCGCGACATATGTCACCTCCTGAAATGCATTCAACTAATTGTGTGTCTAGACCACAATTAGATTCAGCTGACACCTCCCATATAGCCTCACCTACAACTACTCCAACAGTATCACCCCCCAGTCATCCTTCATCCTTGCAATCCCCTGTAATTCATTCAACACCTCAAATTTAGAATAATCATGTACCTAGAAGGTCTAAACATCATTTACCTGCACATTTAGAAGATTGTGTGTGTTCTTTGCCTAACCTATATCCTACTGTTCACCGTCCATCTACTTCATCTTCTTCTGCCACCACATCTAACTCAGATTCTCCTTTTTCTCTCAATGCCCTTTTCTCCAAACATCATCATGTCTCTTTCACTTCCTTGGTCCCTGATAGTCAGCAACTTGTGCAAAGTGTTCGCCATGATAGTGAGCCAGGATCTTATGAGGAAGCAGCCTTGATTCCTGCTTGGCAAACAACCATGTCACTAGAGTTTGAGGCTCTCCATGCCAATCACACTTGGGACTTAGTTCCCTTACCTATAGGGAAGAAACCAATAGGTTGTCGATGGGTGTATAAGATCAAACACAAAGCTGATGGTAGTGTTGAGAGATTTAAGGCCAGGTTAGTAGTAAAGGGGTATACACAACAGGATGGTGTTGATTACACTGAAACTTTTTCACCTGTTATGAAAATGACAACCATTAGAGCACTTATAGCCACTGCAGTATAGAAGCATTGGGGTGTCTTCCAACTTGATGTCAACAATGCCTTCCTCCATGGGGATTTACATGAGGAAGTGTATATGGACCTGCCTCCTAGACTGTTGGTTGATACACCAGGGTTGGTGTCCAAATTGAATAAGTCATTGTATGGCTTGAAACAAGCCAGTCGACAGTGGTATGCCAAATTGGCTGAGGCCTTGTGCTTTAAGGGTTATGCACATTCCCTCAATGATTATTCTTTGTTTTACAAAAAATCTGACTCTTCTGTTATATATGTTTCTGTATATGTGGATGATGTCATTGTCACAGGGAAAATTTAGAGGAAATCAATTCTTTGAAGGCCTTTCTACATGCTCAATTCAAAATCAAGGACCTGGGCAGACTAAATTATTTTCTGGGCTTAGAAGTTCTCTACAAGGAAGATGGTGTGATAATCCCTCAAACAAAGTTTGCTCTTGACCTATTAAAGGAGTATGAATGCCTTCATGTTAGTTCCTTCAACTTACCATTGGATCCTACACTCAAACTTCAAGCCAAAGAAGGTGTACCCTTAGCAGACCCCTCTCTCTAAAGAACTTTGATAGGCAAATTGAATTTCCTCACAAAATACAAGGATGGACATTGCTTGTAGTGTCCAGCACCTCAGTCAATTCATGCAAGATCCCAGGAAACCTCACCTCAAGGCTGCCTACCATTTACTTAGATACTTGAAAGCTGATCCCAGTCTTGGAATTTTTATGTCCACTAGTCCAGACTGCACAGTCAGAGGATATTGTGATTTTGATTGGGCTGCCTGCCCGGATTCTAGGAAATCTTTTAGTGGGTATCTGGTATTACTTGGTGACAATCCCATTAGCTGGAAGTCCAAGAAGCAAGCCACCACTTCTGCAGAAGTAGAGTACAGAGCCCTCAAAAATGTAGTTGGAGAGCTTGTTTGGTTGTGCAGATTGTTTACTGAGCTAACCAGATAAAAGGCGCAGCGCTGTCAAATGCTTGAAGATGAGCATATGAGATAAAAAAACACTATCATTAAAACTAAAGTTTTCTTGGTCGAAAACATAAATATTATAAATAATTATTCATTATTACAAAAGTAATAAGCGCGATCAATAGTACTTGAAACTAAAATCTTGTTTAGTACAAGTCGTTGTTAAACCTCTTCTAACTGTTATTTGGATGTTGGGTTTCTAACTTCTATATATAATCATTGCTCCCTTTGTTTCAATTTATGTTGTAATATTAGTACTATTTTGGGAGTGCACAAGGTTCATCTTTAACCATATTTTTCTTAAACATTTAATAAATATTTAAATTATAAATAATTATGACTAATAGTATTTTGTATGTTGTTTCCAAATAAATAAAGTTTATTTTCAAAAACTTTAAGGATTTATGTCTAATTTTATGGTCAAAACTAAACTTTGACCATGCGTTCTCCGAATCATGCTACATAAAGTGAAACATATGGACTCAATAACTTTTGCTCGTGGATTTGCGTTAAGAAATTATTAAATACAAATATTAAATTTAGAATCTAATTATTAGCATTTCAAATTATTAATTAAAATTCAGAACTCACAAAATTAAAATTTTAGCATCGCTTTTGGGAGTATGTTATTACAACTAGTTTTAAGTTACGCTAGTTCGTTTCCTATTTTCCTTTTATTATATCTTGTTGGTTTTCTCTTTACATGTACAGAAAGACAGATTCAGTTGAGCGCCTTGAAAACAAATTATTGAAGTCATGTGCTACTCACGTGACTTTATGTTTTTGTATTCGTATTTGTACTGTTGAGTCGGTTAGAGGAGTTAGTTAGGAGCTACAGTGTATATATATACACAATATTGTGCATTGAAGCAGATGAATAAAAACAGAGATTTCATTTCTTCAGTTGTGATTCTCTCATCTTCTAGATTCTTCTGATATGGTATCAGAGCAGCGATTAGGGCTTTGAATCTGCTTCTACTTTCTTCTTCTTCAATTAGCTGATCCGCCATGGAAGAGACCTCAACACCTCAAATTGACCATCGTCATCCGCTCTATCTTCAATCATCCGATACGCCTGGAGAAGTCCTAATAGACATCAAGCTAACAGGTCCGGAAAATTACGGATTATGGAGTAGATCGATGCGTTTGGACTTATTGGGAAAGAACAAGCTAGGTTTTGTAGAAGGAACATGTGTGAAGAGTTTATACAAAGGAGAATTAGAAGATCTGTGGGAACAATGTAATGCTGTGGTTCTCTCGTGGATTGGAAGATGTGTATCACAACAGCAGTTGCCGAGCATAGTCTATGCATCAAATGCAGCAAAGGTTTGGGCTGAGTTCAAGGAAAGGTTTGGAAAATCCAATTTAACCAGATTCTATCACCTTTGGACTCAAATCGGAACCCTAACTCAAGGTACTGATTCTGTTACCACATACTTTACTAAAATGAAGGATTTTTGGGATGAACAAGATACCTTGTTACCAGGTAAAGGATGTAATTGTAAAGAATCAGAACCATTTTTTGAGATGTTCTATCAGCAGCGTCTGGTGCAATTTTTAGTAGGATTAAATGAAACTTATGCTCAAGTTCGTAGTCAAATTTTACTTAAAACTCCTGTGATATCAGTAAATGAAGCATATGCCTTAGTAATTCAGGAAGAAAGCCAAAGGGCTCTTGGTGTGATGGATATGAATAAGGAGCCATTGACTATGTTAGCTGGCAGGGGACAGATGATGAAAGGCAAAAGAATTGGTGTAGTTTTTGAACATTGCGGGTATAAAGGACATCAAAAGGAGAACTGTTATAGGATTGTAGGGTATCCACTTGATTTCAAAAGCAAAAGAAAGCTAATGCATGAGAAAGGTGCTGGTGTTTTTAAGCCTTATGCAAATAATACAACAGTTGAAGGAGGTACTTCTGCTGAGGGACACAACTCTACTGAGGACCAGTCCCAAGGTCATTATTTCACAGAAGAAGAGTACAAACAACTTGTAGACTTGCTAAACAAATCCTCAGCATCTGACTGCAAGGTTAACATGGCAAGTATTGTTTCCATGTTGTCGAGTGCTTGTCTTTTTGAATGGATCATTGACTCAGGGGCCTCTCATCATATCACATCTTGTTAGGAGAAACTAGTTGATGTCAGTGAGCTAGGAAACCAGGTAAGTAGAAAAGTACAGGTGCCAACTGGAAACAAATCACAAATAACAGACATAGGAAGTGCAATAGTTCTAGATGGACAGAGAATAAAAGATGTTCTGCATGTGCCAGACTTCAAATTCAACCTGCTTTCAGTGTCTAAACTGACCAAGGACCTTGTGTGCACTGTTAAATTTTTTCCCGACTTTTGTCTTCTACAAGCTCTTTACAGTGGCAAGGTGATGGGGATTGGTAGAGAAACAGATGGTCTTTATATCCTTAGAGAGGCAATAAAACCTATAGCAGCAGCAGCAGTAATAGAAGAAAACTATAATACAAAGCTATGGCACTCAAGGTTAGGACATCCCTCAATGAAGACAATGCAGCACATTCCTATCTTAAAAGGCTTGGCAGATGACCATGCTTAGCAGGAGTGTTCAGTATGTCCAATGGCAAAGCAACACAGGACAGCATTTCCAGACAGCACAAGTAAAACAGATGGTAGCTTTGAACTTGTACATCTAGATGTTTGGGGTCCTTATAAGCAGCCTACATATGACAGAAAGTATTACTTCGTTTCAATTGTTGATGACTATAGTAGATATACATGGATATGTTTGATTTAGTCTAAATGTGAAGTGATAGTTGTGTTGGCTAGATTCTTTTCAATGATAAAGAACCAGTTTGGTATGAATATTAAAGTGCTGAGATCTGATAATGGTACAGAATTTTTCAATTCCAAATGCAGTGCTTTATTTTCTGATCTTGGAATAATCCATCAAAGTAGTTTTTCATACACTCCACAACAAAATGGTGTTGTGGAAAGGAGGTATAGGCATATCTTGGAGGCTGCAAGAGCTCTGAAAATTCAGAGTTCAATCCCAATTAGATTCTGGGGAGAGTGTATTAGAACTGCAGTTTATCTAATTAATAAGCTGCCAACTGCAGTCCTCAAAGGCAAATCACCTTATGAAGTGATTCATGGCAGAACACCAAAACTGGAACATTTGAGGGTGTTTGGGTGTTTATGCTATGCCAGTGTTTTGCCAAAGGTAGACAAGTTTGCTACAAGAGCTAAGAGAACAGTGTTTATGGGTTACTCAGAAACACAAAAAGGGTACAGGTTGTATGACCTGGAATCTAAAACTTTCTTGATAAGCAGAGATGTCTCCTTCAGGGAAACTGTATTCCCTTTCAAGGAAAGGATCCTTGGAGGCAATGACGAAGATGACCTATTTCTATTGAATTCAATTCCTAGACCAGAGACAAGCCCTCATGTTATCACCTCAAATGATGACATTGTACCTGAAACTCTTTCAGAGGGAGCAGATTTGGAGAATGCAGTAGATGTTGAGGAATATATGAATGACTCTGAGGCAAATATCAGTTCTAATAACACTGACAACACCTTAGATTCTAGCATACCAGCTGAGAGGGATCAATAACAGGTGGTCATTGGTGAACAGGATGCAAATGAGAAAGATGTTGACCAGAGTGTAGGTGAACAATTTGAAGATCTAGCTGCAAGGGACCAATCTGATAGTCAGGAACCAGACAAAGGTAGAGCTAGTAGAGTCTCTAAGCCTCCTACATGGTTAAAGGACTATGTTACTGGGAAGAAAACTTCAGCTTTCTGTCAGTATCCCATTAGTGATCATATATCTTATGATCACCTTCCTGGTCCCTATCAATCCTACATTAATCTTGTCTCAACCGTTACAGAACCATGAGGCATCTCAAGATGAGAAGTGGATAGAAGCCATTAAGTAGGAAATAAATGCCTTGGAGGACAATCACACTTGGGAAATTGTTGATCATCCAGTAGGAAAACAAGTTGTAGGCTCCAAATGGGTATATAAAGTCAAATACAAAGCTAATGGAGAGATAGACAAGTACAAGGCCAGGTTAGTGGCCAAAGGGTACACACAACAAGAGGGTTCGGATTATCATGAAACATTCTCACCAGTTGCAAAGATGGTAACAGTGAGAACAGTGGTAGCTATTGCAGCCTCAAGAGATTGGGATATTTTTCAAATGGATGTCAATAATGCCTTCTTACAAGGAGATTTGTTTGAAGAAGTATACATGGATTTACCCCAAGGTTTTCAAAGACAGGGGGAGTATAAGGTGTGCAAGCTGCTTAAATCACTTTATGGTTTGAAACAGGCTTCACGACAATGGAATATCAAACTCACTGATGCCTTAGTAGAAGCAGGATATAAGCAGAGTTCATATGATCACTCTTTATTCACAAAGAGACATGGAGATGATATAGTCATAATCTTGGTATATGTAGATGATATTCTTATCACAGGAAGCAACAAATGGCTGAATGAAGAAGCCAAGGACACTCTTCATAACAGGTTTAAAGTAAAGGACCTAGGAAGGTTGAGATTCTTTCTGAGAATTGAAGTCTTGAGATCTAAGTTTGGGATTCTGCTTAATCAGAGGAAGTATGCTCTAGAATTGCTTGAAGATGTTGGTTTGACTGGGTTTAAGCCTGTTACCACACCACTAGAGGTCAACCTTAAACTCACATCTGTTGAGTATGACAAACACGTTGGAACATCTGATGATGAGCAGTTGACAGATGCTGGAAGTTATCAAAGATTGGTGGGGAAGCTGCTATATTTGACTATCACCAGACCAGACATTAGTTTTGCAGTGCAGGTACTAAGCCAATTCATGCAAAATCCAAAATTGTCACATTGGAATGCAGCTTTAAGATTGGTAAGATATATTAAGAGGTCTCCTGGACAAGGGGTACTCTTAAAAAGGGGAGCTGATGTAGGTAAGTTGGCAGCTTTCTGTGACTCAGACTGGGCTGCTTGCCCATACGAGGAGATCAGTAACAGGATATGCAATCAAGATAGGGGAGTCTTTGATATCCTGGAAGTCCAAGAAGCAGCAAACCATAAGTAGAAGTTCAGCTGAAGCTGAATATAGAAGCATGGCAGCAGCTGTAGCTGAAATAGTTTGGCTAGAAGGTCTGTTGAAAGAATTGAGTGTTGATGTATCAACACCAGTTAAGTTGTTCAGTGACAGTAAGGCAGCGATGCAAATTGCAGCAAATCCAATATATCATGAGAGAACGAAACATATCTAGATTGATTGCCATTTCATCAGGGAGAAGATCAAGAAAGGGTTGATTCAACCAGAATATTTGGGAAGCAAACATCAACTAGCTGATCTTTTTACAAAGGGATTCACTACTAGAAAAATGCAAATTTCCCAGGGAAATTTCCCACTGATATATTATCAGTGGCAATTCCCGCTGAAATGTAAAAAAATTCAGTGGGAAATGGGAAAGATTTCTTTTACCTTTTTTTTAAAAACATTCCCACAGACTATAAGTGGGAACTAGTTGGCGCAAAAAAAGCGCGCAATTTGTTTCCCACCGAATCAGTGGGAATGTCATTAAAAATGAAATTATTAAACTATACCAGTGAAACGGTGGGAATTCCGGATAAAAAAATTATTTTAATATTTCCACTGATGCAGTGGGAAGCTCAAAATTTTGAACTTTGGCAAAAACGGCGATCTTAAAAGAAATTTCACCAAATATACCCAGGGAATCGGTGGGAATGTCTTTTTTCTTTTTTTTTTTTTGGTTTTCACACATTAATTTAGGCGTATATCCTTATTTTTCTTCTCTTATAATTTTTACTCTCATTCTTCTCTTTCTCTCTTGTTCTCTTGGCAGAAACCTCCATTCTTGCCCTAGAGCTTTCACTCATACAAAATCAAAGGTAAGTGGCACCTCTCTCTTTCTCTCTCTCGCTATCCCCCCTTTCTTTCTCCCTTTTCTGATTTTACCCTAAATGCTTAAAAACCTAGGGTTCCTCCATGACTAAAAATCTAGCTTTTGTATGTATGTTTGTGTGTGTAGTTGGGTTCTTGGGTCCTGAGTTCATAGACCTATTTGAATTTTTCTTCTCCTCTCACTTTAATTTTAGAGGATTATTATTAGATTTTGAACTCGATTTAGATTTACGAAGCCTGAGAGAATTTTTCCTCGATATTGGATGTTAAGTAAAGGTGTATATAGCTGGGAGACTGCAATCTGTACGAAAAGATTAGCTACTGCAGTATTTGATATATATGACAGAATAAGAGAATGAGTCTGCATATATTTGGAAGGCAAAAGTAGGCGTTGGTTTGGATTATTCTAGCTCTAGCCGTCCAGTGAGGTTCAGCGACAGTTTGGTGCTTGAAAATTATATTACGTGTGGGTCATCCATTGAATAATTTGCCATTAGCCGTTAGCACTAACTCATCGTTTTGGATAGAATATTAGTCCTTCACAGGATTGCAGATTGTTACTATATTTGTTTCTGATTATTACCAATAGATACAAGCAATTGGTAACAGATTGTTACTATGTTTGTTTCCTATGTTTTTTTACAATCTAAATCTCCTAACTATTACTATATCTCAATTAGCTTTAAAATCTAAATTGGTCTTTTCACTTTCAATTCGTAATGTTCCCTCAACAATTCTTTTGATTAGCTACTGCAATCTCCTCACAATCCGTTCAAGAATTATACAATATGTGTAAAGTTACCTTCAATTGTGTTTGAAAAATGCTATTAGTGCGATACTCTAGTGGCTGCAATTGACAGTCATGGAAGCAAAATAAATAGAGCCAAAAACTTTAAATTAAATCTCATCCTTGCATACATATATTGAATACATACAATATTACTGGAAATTATCACATTCTCTACTTTTTGGTCTTCAGATTTAGGTGCAACACATTTACGTTTCAAGCTTCTTGCTTTTGTACCACTTGGCCAAAGACCATTTTAATCCTTTTGAAAATTATAATTATCAACATTTTTTTTAAGTATAATTATCATCTCTTTTACTCCTTTTGAAAATTGGACCAGGAATTGAAGATACAAAAGTGTGAAAGAAGACAAAATCAAGTTATAAGTCTTGAGGTAACTTATATCTATCCTCCAAGTTTAAGTTTATTTATGGATGATAACCAATGTTTTAGAATCTTGGTTTGACTTTTCTTGTCTTATAAAAAGACGAATAAAAGTTAGTTCTCTAAGGTATATTATTCATAATTAATTGTAAACTAAGTGAGTTCTTTAAGGTATACGATTCAAGATTAACTATAAACTAACTTGAAACAAATAAATTGTTATAAGTCTATTCATTTGTTTGTGTATATTTGTGTACTAGATGGAACGTGAACATCGTAGATGGATGTACGATAGGAATCATCCTAATCGTTCTGGCTTAAAGGAAGAATTTGTTGAAGGTGTTAAAGGATTTATTGCTCATGCAAAAATACTTCCTGAATTTCGTAGTGAAGGAACAATTAGGTGTTCTTGTGTGAAATGCAAGTGTACAAAGTTGTTGCAACCGGAAAATGTTAAAGTTCATCTTTATAGCAGGGGGTTTAGGGAAAATTATTATGTGTGGACTGTTCATGGAGAGAACTATTGTAGTGTTGGTGGTGTTCATTTTCAAAATCTAGTTAGTGGTGAAAGAAGTACACAAATGGAGAATAATGTTGAGAATTCTCGATTACATGAAATGGTGTCAGATGCTTTTGGTTTTTACCCAGGGGTTCAATCACAACAAAATGTTGTTGAGCCTCCCAATGATGAGGCAAAGCGCTTCTATGAATCATTAGAGTCGGCTAGTCGTCCACTCTATAAAGACTCAATACACTCCGAGTTGTCTGTTGCAGTTAGATTACTAACTATTAAATCAGATTGGAATATTTCTCAAGCAGGCATGAATGCTATAATTGGGCTTATGCGTGAAGTTAATCCAAACATTAACTTACCCAATAATTACTATAAAGCAAAGAAATTGGTTTCCAAGTTAGGACTTTCCTCAACAAAAATTGATTGTTGTGAAAATGGTTGTATGTTATATTATAAAGATGATGCGGTTCTAGAAGCGTGCAAATTTTGTGGACTGTCTCGTTTTAAGGAAGTCACAAATGCCAAAGGTAAGAAAGTTGCAGTCAAAAAGATGCATTACTTACCAATTATACCTAGATTAAAGAGGATGTATGCATCAATGAGTGCTGCTCCTCATATGAGGTGGCACCATGAAAATAGAAGGCCGCCTGGTATTTTGTGTCATCCTTCGGATGGAGAAGCGTGGAAGCATTTTGATAGGATGTTTCCAGACTTCGCTAATGAACCAAGAAATGTTAGGTTGGGTTTGTGTACAGATGGATTCACTCCATTTTCTGTCTCTGCTGCACCATATTCATGTTGGCCTGTCTTTGTTACACCATATAATCTTCCACCTGAAATGTGTATGACAAGTCCATATTTGTTCCTAACTTGCATAGTTCCGGGTCCAAGTAATCCAAAGGGTTTAATTGATGTATATTTGCAGCCGTTGATTGATGATCTAAAATTATTGTGGCATGAAGGTGTTGAAACATACGACATATCAACTAAGCAAAACTTTAGATTGTGTGCTGCTTTGATGTGGACTATTAATGATTTTTCTGCGTATGGAATGTTGTCTGGGTGGTCGACTGCTGGAAAGTTAGCTTGCCCCTACTGTATGGAAGATACAAAAGCATTCACTTTGAGATATGGAGGTAAAAACACATGGTTTGACTGTCACCGACGGTTCTTGCCAATGGATCATGAGTTCAGGAGAAATACTAGTGCGTTTATGAAGAATCAAACAGATTATGATGATCCACCACCAATCTTGTCAGGTGAGGAAATTTGGGAGAGGGTTAAAGATCTACATCTGCTAGAATACCTGGTTATGGCGTTGAGCATAATTGGACTAAACAAAGCATATTTTGGGAGTTACCTTATTGGAAGCATAATCTTCTTCGACATAATTTGGATGTCATGCATATTGAAAAGAATTTTTTTGATAACCTATTTAATACTGTTATGGATGACAAGAACAAGACAAAAGATAACTTGAAGGCCAGGATGGATTTACAGGAATACTGCAGGCGAAGAGAATTAGAACTAAAAGAAGTAAATAACAGGATGGTGAAGCCTAAGGCTAGTTATACATACAGTTTGGATGATAAACGAAAGATTTGTGATTGGGTTAGGAATTTGAAGATGCCCGATGGGTATGCGTCAAACTTATCCAGGTGTGTTGACATGAAAGAAGGAAAGTTGATGTATATGAAAAGCCACGATTGTCACATTTTCTTGGAATCATTAATTCCTATTGCATTTAGCTCATTGCCTGAGAGAATATGGAAACCCATCACAGAGATAAGCTTGTTTTTTAAGGACTTGTGTTCTAACACATTAAGGGATGAAAACCTAATTTTCATGGAAAGTAATATTTCTTTAATCATAAATAAACTAGGGAAAATTTTTCCATGTGGTTTCTTCAATGTAATGGAACATCTCCCAATTCACCTTGCACAAGAGGTACGACTTGGAGGACCGGTTCAATGTAGATGGATGTATCCCTTCGAGAGGTAATGACCATTAACTATTTTCTCTTTATGTATTTTGGTATAAAGAATTCCTATCTAAAAGTGTGCTATGCAGGATTATTGGCAAATGTAAACGGACCGTGAAACAAAAGGCCAAGATTGAGGGATCAATATGTGAAGCGTATCTAGTTAGAGAAACCTCTCATTTTTGTTCGTATTATTTTGAGAATCATGTTCCATGTTTGAGAAATAGGCTGAATCGGCATGATGAAGGCGACAATGATCCTTTGGAACCTCCTATATCCATATTCAATCAATTGGGTAGAGGTCCGAGAAAAAGTCAAAAAAGAAGTTGGACTGATAGGGAAAAAAAATCGGCTACAACACATGTATTATTGAATTGCCTCGAAGTTCAACAATTTTACAAGTAAGTTTGGAATTATACTATTGACCTATGTGCATAATCTATTCATTTTTTAACTAATAAATATTGTAAAATGTCTGACAGTTACTTTGTGAGTCAGTTCGGCCATGCTAATGTTTATCCTAGATTTTCAGAGTGGTTTAGAGACTACGTAAGTGTTAATTAATATGTAACAAAATTTTCATTATTTACACACTATATGATTTTCTAACTTCTCAATTTTCTTCAACTCTATATAGGTTCATAATCCAAAAAATGGTATATGTGATCCTTTTTTGCGTGATATAGCTTGGGGACCTACCCCACAAGTCAAAACCATGTCTACGTATTTTGTCAATGGATACAAATTTCATACGGAAGAATGGTCTAAGAATAAGAAAACCATTAATAGCGGGGTATGGGTGAAAGGTGGTGATGGTGACCAAGGTGGGGATATTGATTATTATGGTGTGCTCCAGGAGATTTTAGAAATAACGTATGTTGGTTGGCCAAAGAAAAGGTTGGTACTTTTTCGATGCAAGTGGTTTGATCCCACACCAAATAGAGGTACAAAGGTACACCCACAATACAAAATAGTAGAAGTTAAGCACACGAAGGAGTACCAAAGCTATGATCCATTTGTTATGGCACAAAATGTGAAGCAAGTGTATTACGCTCCTTATCCGTCGACGTGTAAATATAAGAATGAATGGTGGGTAGTTATTAAAACTAAGCCCGTTGGAAGAGTGGAAGTTGATGATTCACTAGTTGTAGCGTACCAAAATGATATATCAAGTGTTCAACAAATTGTGGATAATGAATTAGAATATGAGCTGCATAGTGAAGGCATATATGAAGAAGTTGATCTGTCGGTTGAACAAAATGATGGAATTGGGACATCTATGGCCAATGCAGAGGAAGATTCAGGTGATGAAAATGAATTCACTGTGGAGGAAGAATTTTCTGATGAAAATGAAACAAGCGAGGAGGATGAAACTGATGATGAAAATGTAGCAAGCGAGGAGGATGAAACTGATGATGAAAATGTAGCAAGCGATGACGATGGAATGGATGATGGAAATGAAACAAGCGATGATGATAATTGACATGTTTGTTTTTTCTAGCTTACGTAGTAATTATGCTTTTAAATTTGTTGCTAAGAGAATTAACATGCTATTTTTTCTTATGCTTGTATTATTCAGATGGCTGCTGGAGGTAAATCAAAGAAGAAGAAACAAGTTTCACGTAACTTAGGTCGTCTCCCTACCTCTCCACCATCGGCACATTCTGGTCCGCATGTGCCTCCACCTACATGCCCGTCTTCAGTTCCACCTCCCTTATACTCTATACCACACCTAGGGTATACTGCTCCATCCTCTGCCCGTTACTATCTATCATCATATGTCTTCCCAAGACATAAATGGGACGTTTTCATCTAAACCTGCTTGCCCATCTATGCGTACACCTAGACCTACCATACCCCCATCATCTACTCCAGTCATTCCATCCCATGGCATTCAATCGTCATCGTCTCCCGTTATTCCTTCATCATCTTCTCCTGGCATACCCTCTTATTCTACCCCTAGCATGCCCAGATCTTCTAGTCGGCCTCCAAAGCATCCTTACATGCATTCATTTGACTCTATACATGCTCAGGATCCTCCAAATATTGGAGTAGATAGCCTTCCGACGTCCCCATGCATTGATAGTGATTCAGTTACACAGCCTCCTATACATGCTCAGGATCCTCCAAATGTTGGAAGGTTAGATGATCTCAGGAGGTTGATTATCGTTCCCGATAAATCTGGGTAAGTATTATTTGTTTATTTTCTTATTAATTATAAACCTGGTTTCTAACATGTTTAATTTAATGCAGGTTTCATCCTTGTACTCAAGTTACAAAAGCTGTGGTTGAGTCAATGTGTTCATTTTATCATGAACCTTGGAGGTTTTGGTCAGATGTTCCATGGAACATTAGGAACAGGATGTTTGATGAATTTAGGGTAAAATAAATTATTTCATTTTTCAACTCATATTTAACCAATCTAACAAATTAATTATTTGCAGATGAAGTGTGCTTGGCCAGTTGAACGTGAGGTAGAGGTACGAGGCGTCTTTTTTAAGAAATGTGCTGATAGGTTGAGTGATATGCTTCGAGAAGCTCGAAATAAGAAAGAGAGGCCAGGTTGGATTATTGAGGATATATGGATCAAACTAACTGAGTATTGGGCCTCTAAGGAATTTGAAAAGAAAAGTGAATTGGCAAAGGCAGCCCGTTTGTCCGACAAAAGTGGCTCCATGCACACGGGAGGTTCAATAAGTATTGGGGCTCATCGAAGAAGATTGGTATGTGTTTAAATTAAATCATATTTCTTGTCACTGTATAAATCATATTTCCAATTTTGGTTCTGTTTAAATTTAACTATCATAATTCTTGTCACTGTATATAAATTAAATCTATTGACTATACATACCTATTGGGACATGTCGCTGAATCATTCTCATTGTCTTGGCTAGAAGTACTTATTGAGACAAAGCCAAAGCCAAAATTTAAAAACAGAACCAAAATTGGAAATATATCAGATTCAACTGACTGCAAGATCTGCAAGATTCTCATTGTTTTCAAAAAGAAAAAAAAGTTACCTAATCTGACTGTTGTTCATGACTTTGATTCTCCAAGTTCTTTAAAATCACTACTAGGTAACTTTTAAAGAACTTGACGAGTAGTGATTTTAAAGAACTTGGAGAATCATTGACCTTGCCTATCATTGACCATATAAATTGACTAAAAGTTACCTAGTAGTGATTTTAAAGAATTTATAGCCTGTAGCTGCGGCCTAGTTGGCTTGTAGCGCATTACTATTCTGTGGTTTTTGTTAACTGCACAACAATGGTAGGCAAGGTTAAGAGTAAAGTAGATTACTTGAATTGCCATAATCTGTGTGAGACACAAGTGCACAAAACAACAGATGTTTCTTTATGTTATACTTCTCTAGCGCACAACATCATCACCAGGTATAAATTAGTGAGTTAGATGCAAATAAAGAGTAGTATTTGTAGTAGTAATGATTAGTTTCTTTCTATTCTTTGTTATGTTTTGTTCTACTTTTCTTTGTTGTGTCACTTGGCTTTGATCTTTTGTTCTTTTCTTTTTCATGGACATAACATTTTAATTTTGCTTTTTTCATGTTTTATTTAACAGAAAAAGTCTTTAAAAAGACCAGCTACTCAAGATAAGGTATTTGAGCATACACATATGAAGAAGCTAAAGGATGGGACAAAGACAACTTGGGTCGAGCCACGGGCCGAGACAACCTATGTAAGATTTCAAGTTACTTTTTAATACTTTTCCCTAATTAAATTTATTCATATAATAATTGTAACTTTGTTTTGCAGAATACTTTCAAACAATCCTTGGAGGAGTTTGTTCAAAGCCAACCAACTGATGATCAAGGAAATCCAATCCAACCATCACAGGAGAATTATATGGACTTGTGGATTAAGGCGGCTGGTGGCGTACATAAGGGAAGAGTTTACGGCCTTGGATCAGAGTTTAGTTCTAGTCGTCGGTCTTTTGGATCTGGTGGCTCTTCTTCCTCAAGGTCCTCGATTAATCAGGATGAGTTTGAGCTATTGAATAGAAGAATAGCAGAGATCACTGAGTTGTATGCACAGGAAAGGGCTGCGCGGGAGGAGGAGGCAAAGCGAAGGGAGGAGGAGGCAAAGCGAAGGGAGGAAGAAGATAGGGGGAGGGAGGAAGAGGAGAGGCGGAGGGAGGAAGAAATGAGGCAAAAGGATGCTGCATTTACACGTGTCACTAGTGATGTTGAAAGCCTCAAGGCCCAGCTAAACTACCTCTTAGCATCTGGTGGATTTCCTGTGCCACGTTCTCCATCACGCTCTAACAAGACTAAGGAGTAGTTTCTTTTATTAATATGATTTTGGGTAGGACTATAATGTTGGATGTTATGTATCAATTGGATAAGATTGAATGTTGAATTTCTTATTTGAATGTTAAGTTGCATTATTGGTTTCTAGTATTTTCAGTTTTTGTTGGTTTTTAATTAACGAAATGGATCGGAAGATGCTGATCTTTGTGTGTGAATGTTTAATTGTATTTAGGTTGGTGGTTGTATTTTTTTTGTTTGGCAGGTGGTGCAGTATATTTACAGCATTGTGCACAAAAATAATTTCCAGATTTCCCACGGAATTGCCACTGATTTCGTGGGAGGGTTCGTCACTTTAGCTGCAGAACTTGCATATTTCCCACTGATATCGGTGGGAAAGTTCATACATTTTTTTATAATTTGCATTTATCCCACTGATATCGGTGGGAAAGTTCATACTTTTATTTTCAGAATTAACACATTTCACACGGATATCGGTGGGAATGTTCACACTTTATTTTTCAGAACTTGCATATTTCCCACCGTTATCAGTGGGAAAGTTCATACTTCATTTCCAGCTCCCCATGCATTTTTCCCACCACTTCCCTGGCTAATGTATTAAAATTAATAAAAATTATTAATATTGGTTCCCACTGATTGTTGGTGGGAAATTTCATTATTTTTCCTATTAAAGTTTCTCTGGGAAAACCGTGGGAAATTTCCCACCGCGTCTCTGGGAAGATATTTCCCACCAGGCGTTTTCCCGGTGACTCGTTTCGGTGGGAATGCGGTGTGAAAACTCGATTTTCCCACCGGTTTCCCACTGATTTCGCCGTGGGAAATCCATGTGTTTCTAGTAGTGATTGGGTTCAGCTCAACACCATTATCTGTTATCCAAGCTAGGAGTGTTAGATATGTACCACCCTCCAGCTTGAGGGGGAGTATTGAAGTCATGTGCTACTCACGTGACTTTATGTTTTTGTATTCGTATTTGTACTGTTGAGTCGGTTAGAGGAGTTAGTTAGGAGCTACAGTGTACATATATACACAGTATTGTACATTGAAGCAGATGAATAAAAACAGAGATTTCATTTCTTCAGTTGTGATTCTCTCATCTTCTAGATTCTTCTGATAAACCCCAAGAAAGAAATTAAAGAAAATATAACTTTCCCTCGAGTTGAAAGGGATTCTTGGCGTAATTGATAAAGTTCTGCTATGTGATCAGGAGGTCACAGATTCAAACTGTAAAAATAATCTCTTGCAGAAATACAGGATAAGGCTGCGTACAACAGACCGTTGTAATCCAGTCCTTCCCCGGACCTTGCGCATAGCGAGAGTTTAGTGCACTAAGCTGACCTTTTATAACTATCCCTGACGTAATAAAATTTTACGACTTGAAGTCCTCATCTAATATTCTGCAGGTCAATAATGATATGTAGGACTTCCGTTTTTAAGGAATATATACCCACGTGATTGATATATATGGGGAAAAGTTCCATAGTAATAATAATAATGGAGAAAGAAAACATAGTCACGTATTCAATCATAAATGTATTGCATTATGTATTCAGTATTAAATGCATCTGAAATATTCGTCTGAAGAAAGACAGCTCATTCTTTTATGACATGGCTCATCAACTTTCAAATTTTATGATGATATTCTGAACTATTTATACAATCTAATCACTTAAAAATAAAATTTAGAAAAGTTTACATACTAAACATCCATAAAATAATGCAAGTACCCTATTGAAATTATGCTAAACAATTAACGTTCTATTATTCATGCAACTTTGTAAATTAAATGCAACACGTGACCATATTTAATTAGATACAAATTTAATAGATACTCTTCTTTTAACAAATTTCTCTGTTTAAAGATGAGCGACAACACTCTTTATACTTCTGGTTAGGTGCGTAAAAATTAAAGAGTATATAACTGTAGACAATAAATTTGCGTCGAGAAAATAAAATCAAGACCGAAAATATCGTAACAATCGTAGTATTTTATTTCGAATATTTGAGTGTACAATCTCTATGATTCATCTGATTCTTCTTTCCAATGGTGAATAAATTCAAGGGCCTTGGAGCTTGATCTTGAATCTATGTTTGTTGTCACGAACGATGATCTTGTTCTTGAGTTTGAGTTTGATTGCTTGAACTTGACCTTGATTTGTTCTTCGTTCTTAAACTTGAACTTGATTTCTTGAGCTTGAACTTGAAGCTTGAAACTTGTGGAGGAATTTGCTGCGTTTGATCCACGAGCTCTTTCTTGCTTCTTGTTATAACTTCTGGTCCCTTTTCTGAGTTATGAAGACCCCTACTTACGGTTGTGGAAGGGAAGAGTTATGATAAGAACAAACTCTTTCCGACCAATCAAATTGAAGTGTGACATGATCGCATTTGATTGGCCAAAACATGTCACTTGCACCCGTGGCACGATTTCATTGGCCTTTTAGTGTGACTTGGCATGCCTTGTCATTTTGACACGTGGCATGATCCTATTGGCTCTTCCGTTTGTCTTGGTGCGCCACGTCATTTGACACGTGGCACCAAACTGGGCCTCTAGGAAGATGACATCTTGGGCTTAATGAAGTGGGCTCGTCACTTTAGCCCAATTAAATGGGCTAGCCCAATGTATTAAGACTCATTTATTTAATCCATATATATTGGAATTATATAATTAATTCATTTATATATTAGCCCGTAACATTTATTTGGACTAATATATCTTGAATTTAAAATATAGTCCAAATTATTTTATGAATTTAATTTATGTAAAATTTATATGTCTACAAATATCCCTACTTCAAGACTTGAAGTATACATCCTCCAATGCTCCTATAAGAGCTTATACATTTGCAGGGTTAAATAAACCTCTCAATGCTGTCAGACTTCAAGGATAACATGCTCACGTGAAATAGAAAAGCAATTGACACCATAACTAATAGCAAATATTGCCAAAGTTACAGTGAATTAGATTTTTCCAATGTTTCCACGTAAGCCTAGCAAATGTAAGAATCTTTAAACATGTACATCATACAGTTGTGGAGGCATATTAGTAATATAATTCTAGTTGTATATACATGTGAATTAGCTGTAACGACCAAAGTGCCTGACTCTTTACATATCAACCACATGTAGGTAAGGAAACTTTCGCCGTCTTTAGCTTTTCTAATCGAATTAGGAATAGGACACCTAGTCCTTCTTCGATACTGATAGTCAGCGATCCCACATCGGTACTAATTCTTCAATACCCATCTTCGGAAGCTGTATAAATATATGCACGCCCTTCATTCAATCGGCATCAACAACATCTGCAAGCTACGTTTAGCTTAAATTTGACGATTCGGAAGCATTGACACGAAGGTAATTTTCTCTTCTTTTTTTTTGTGCTTTTCTCTTTTGTCATTTTTTTTGTATCTTTCAAGTGTGAAAGATATGTTCTTGTTCAGAGAGATGATCCATGCATGAAGAAAGACAATCTTGGGATGTGAGGGGATGAGTACTCAACCTTGCCTGACTATCGAAGGGATTACTTTCATGGCCCGATTCTTGGAGATTACTCTCAATGTGGCCCAATTCTTGGGAGAGATTACTCTCAAAATGGCCCGATTCTTGGAGAGATTACTCTCAATGTGGCCCAATTCTTGGAGAGATTACTCTTAAAATGGCCCGATTCTTGGAGAGATTACTCTCAATGTGGCCCAATTCTTGGAGAGATTACTCTCAATGTGGCCCAATTCTTGGAGAGATTACTCTCAAAATGGCCCGATTCTTGGAAAGATTACTCTTAATGTGGCCCAATTCTTGGAGAGATTACTCTCAAAATGGCCTGACTACCCGGAGAGATTACTCTCAATGTGGCCCAATTCTTGGAGAGATTACTCTCAAAATGGCCCGACTACCAGAGAGATTACTCTCAATGTGGCCCAAACTATCGGCGAGGCCAACTTAAGGTGCAAAGGGACTCATATGTCCACCTTAAGATTGGAAAGTTATAAAGATTCAACTTGAAGACGATATCGGCTTGAACACTTGGAAAACATTGAAGATTTGGTGGATTTTGCATACTTCAACTCGAAGATTCAGAAGGCTTAAACAATTCAACTTTAAGATCGGCGAATTTGAAGACTTCAACTTGAAGACCGACGGACTTGAAGACTTCAACTTGGGGCTTAAATATTTCAACTTTAAGACCGGCGAATTTGAAGACTTCAACTTGAAGACCGACGGAGTTGAAGATTTCAACTTGGGGACTTCAACTTGAGTACCGACGGACTTGAAGATATCAATTTACCATGGAGGGTTGCCCCTTTTAAATCAAATGAGATCAAAGTTCCACAAGAGGATGGCATTTCAGCTTGATTTTGCATTCCTCCATACTTCACTCGGACAACAATTGGGGCAATATGTATCTTTTGAACTTATGCGACTGAACTTAGAATGAAACTATAAGCTGCCTACGTACCTCGGTGAAGAGGATCAAGTCATACCGTAGTTCAGACAGGGTAGACTTTTTTTTTTTACGTTCTAACTTTTACCTAGGCCGCATCTTTTGAGATTTTCAACCTAGCGGACATATTTTTTTTTTACGTCCTAACTTTTGCCTAGGCCGCCTCTTTCGAGATTTTCAACCTAGCGGACTTTTTTTTTTACGTCCTAACTTTTGCCTAGGCCGCCTCTTTCGAGATTTTCAACCTAGCGGACATATATTTTTTTTTTACGTCCTAACTTTTGCCTAGGCCGCCTCTTTCGAGTTTTCAACCTAGCGGACTTTTTTTTTTGGGGCCGTACATAGTTTATACTCTTGCGGGCCAGGAGTCTAACAACATGCGGTTTAGGCTCGTGCGTCAAGGAGCGTCATGACTTGCAGTTTAGGCTCGTATGTCGAGGAGCATTATGACTTGCAACTTCATGGATAATACTTCTTCAAAAACTTGCCGTTGATAGGGCCGATTCGCATACCATCTGCATCAACCAGCTTGTAAGCCCCACTTGAATAAGCTTCTTGTACGACATATGGCCCATCCCATTTTAAAAAGAACTACTCTACAGGTTTATGGGAAGTAATTATGGGTCTTCGTACGGCAAGGACTTGATCTCCCACTTGAAAGGATCTCGGACGAAC